GTGCGCCACCGGGCCGGCCCCAGTTCTCCCTTTTATGTAGGAATTGTGTCTATGTGGCTGGGTTGAGTAGGGCAGGGCCAGGAATGACAAATATCAGGTTTTACTTTAGGGTGAGTGGGCAAGGAGCTGGCTTTCGGGATGCTGGCCCTGAATGCCAGAAGGAGAATGGTTTTGCTCTGTATTGTCGACATAAAAGATTTCACTTTCTCTGTGCTATTTATTCAATTAATTTAGGGAAGATTTTCGGGTCTTTTTTGGTTTCTGTTTTTGTCTGGAGGCAGATGACTTTGCTTTCATTGTGTATGGATAAGGAAAGAAAATGTGTGTGGTGATTGATTCAATCACACCATATTTAGAATGTTAGCCCCATTTTCTGGCCTTATTCTCACTTCTGCCCTTGGCCGCACCTCCAACCAAGGCTTTTGTAGCTTCTTCATTATAATTCTTTAGGCTGTGGTTTTGGTGTTATCACATCAAACCACTACTATTGGCTTTGTTTCTCAAGAAACTGTTGAAATTTCATTTGCTGTTCCTCTCCTTCACCTACCCTCATCCCCTCACTTAAGTGCATGCACACAAACACATATATCCTTGCTCTTTTATTTATTCCTCGTTTTTTCTACTTGTACATTTTTATTTCTGTGGTATCTAGAAAAGATTATTAAGCAAATTATATGCCAAATCCACCATCTTGAACAGTAACCCAAGAAAAACTCTCTATATATGATAGGTGAAAATTCTGCTATCTGGGTAAAACATATTGTAGCATCTTCCCTAGCTGATTGCCTATTGGTCACATGACCACCTCTACAATATTGCTATTCAAAGGAAAATGGAATTACTTCCAGGGTAAAGGGAAGAGTTCTTTGGGATGCTAACAAAATCATTTTATTAATTAAGGAAGAAGACAGTGGTGTTTGGGTAGGCAAACAATAATGTCTGCCATAAGAGTGATTCAACTTTTTTCCTTCCCAATATCATTCATTTATTTTAGAATTAAGTCTTTTTATTAAACAGCATCAACTCCTGATAAGGAACTATACTGGGATCTAGCAAAGATAGAATTTTAAGGCCCAATGTTGCAGTATGAGGCAGGGGTCAAGAAGGGCAGGGGGAAGAATTGACTGAGCATAGGTAAAACAAGAAAGGCCTAGAAGCTGAGGCTGTTGGACACTGGTGAGCTGAATAGATCCAGTGGACATACATACTGAAGGAGATTCCAAGAGAGTGATGGACTGGAAATAGGTCTGCAGGTTGGTAGCCCATCCTGACAACGTATGAAGTGACAAGCCCGAAAATGAAAGGCTAACGTATTAAGGAAAATGGAACAGAGATGAAAAGAGCCAAAAGCATGGATGACTTTGTCGAGCCACTGAAAATAGGTTGGAAACACTTGTACCTTGAGATTTTCTGTTTTGGGGACAATTTTGAGATAATTAAGGCACTCTTAGCAAAATGACCCTGTTACGCAGAAACATACATAATTTTATATAAACAGATTCATGTTATGTATATATTGTTTTGCAAGCTATTTTCAACTGTACATCTTGGATACACTCTCATATCAAGCAATACAGTCATGTCATGCTTTTTTAATATCTATAAAGTGTTCTACTTTAGAGATACGCTATAATTTATTTAAATTAATCTCCTACTGAATATTTTTTTGGTATGATACATTTTTAAATGTAATGAGTATTAATTAGTTTCTCAGCCATCCATTAACATCAACCCACCTACCCAACATTGCCAAGATAATCTTATAATCCCATTTTGTAACTGCCAAATACTGACTGCCTACAGTATCAAGTTCTTTAAATTCAAAATTGAGTCTCCTTACAGATTAGTTTCTATACATTTTAACTTTATCATTACTTTCTATTAAGAAACTTCCATAACAGACAAAACAGAGTACTCATTATCATAGAATGCATCTACAGTCTAGTTTCTTGGCTTTGCTCATGGCACACTTTCCACAGTCTTTTTCCTCTTCATTTGGAGCTATCTTCATTAAACCATCTTTCCATTAACATTTGGGAATACCCCTGGGTGCTACAAAGAGGACAGAGACAGTTCTTAGAATTCCATAAAGTGTATTTCCTTCTAGACCAGAACCATCTAACAGAAATCTGATGCAAGCAACCTATGTAACTTTAAATTATCTAGAATTTGCATTAAAAAGTAAAAATAAATAGGCAAAATCAATTTTAATGTATTTTATTTGACCCACTAGACACCAAATATGAACTCGATGTGTACCCAATATAATAATTATGATATTTTACATTTGTTTTCCTAAGTCTTTGAAATCTGGTGTGAATTTTGCA